TGTTACAGCAATATTCATTAGGGCAGTGTTGTCCAAACTTGGTCACTTTAAGATGAGTGGACTTCAACCCCCAGAATTCCCCAGCCAGCCATGCTGGCTGGGGGATTCTGGGAGTTGAAGTCCACTCATCTTAAAGTGGCCAAGTTTGGACAACACTGCATTAGGGCAATTTCATTTCAGGAAGTGTCAGGCAATCCAGGTTATTCAGCCAAAATCTGAGCGTAGCACCCCTTCATAGCCGTTTCAAGGAGCAAGGCGGACCTCACTTCTAAAGCAGAATGAATCAAGCAAGCTTTGTTATGTCTCTTCAGCTTCATCCGTTAAACTGGGAGAGCAAGAAAGGGCTTTGTTTCTCAGGTACAAAATACTCTCAGATACAAAATACGCTTTGCATGCTCAGAGTTTTGAGACTGAAGCTTCTTTGCCCACCCTGGTGTGTGACCTCTACTGAGGGAGTGTGACCTTAATGATGACTCTGGCACTAGCGTGAATTCCTAAAAGTGAACTGCTAAGAGCTGACTATTCCACCAGGCTTCAGACTTCCCTCTTGGCCTTCCATCTTTTTTACAGTGTACATAAAACCTTGCCCAGATGTCTAGATCGATGCATTACAGCAGCAGCTGAAGTAGGTAGTGAAGAATGTATGAGTGCATACTTAGCAGAGGAAGCCAGATGGATGAGGGTGAACAAGTTGAAACTTCATTTAGATCCATTGTAATTTGGTTCCTCTGGAGAGCTTAACTTGCTCTAGATGTGGTTGGACAACACCTGAGAAATCAGGTCTTCAGTCTGGGGATTCTGTTCAAACCAGCAGTATCTATGGTGACCAGGTATTGTCAGAAGGCAGGACTGCCTTTTGTCAGCTTTGATGGAATCCCAAGCTAAGACTCTGTCTTGAGAAAGCAGGAATAATCTTGGCTGGGCATGGCCTGAATGTATTTTAGATAACAACAACAGTAATATTCTCTTTGTAGGGCTGTCTTTCAAGATACCTGCAAATTTCAGCTAGATCTATATGCAATTGTCAGGATGGGAGAACCTGACCTTGAGAACTAGTCAGTTTGTGTTCAAAGCACTGCAGCTGACCTGTGTCCCAAATGGCCTCCCAGCACCTCTGTGAATCTACCTGAACCTTAATGCTATTTTGGAGGCGTGGCTTCTGAGTCACTAATAGGGAGGATCAGATTTGCAGATACAAAGGTAATTCCTGAGCTGTGACTCCTTATGTTCTGTCATAAGGCTTTTTTAGAATAATCCTGTAGTGGCCTATAACTCTGAAATTTTCTGGAAGTCTCACCTCAAAGTACTAACCAGGTACAATCTTGCTTAGTTTTTCCAAAGTCAGCCAAGTTGGCTATATGCACTCTTGCAATACTATGTTCTGAGCACCATAGTTCCAAAAGGACAGTGACAAATTAGGGTACGTT